TTAACGCTAGTTGGATAAGGAATATGAGGATTTTCAGTTCAACGTATATACACCCCCACACCCACTAAAGATCTTCAAAATAGTTTGACCTATTGTCTAAACAAGCTTCACATTAGGGTGCAGCACACAAGAATCACAGAATAAGCCCTGCTAGTTATGTTCCTAAAGATTTAAGGCTACTCTATAGACACTAATATTGATGACGTTTTGGTTTCGTTTTCGTGAACAAAGTCACCGAAAAACGCCACTGTCCTAATTCTTCTGGACGCGTGCTTCATATATGTACAATCAATTGATTCCCCTCTCCCCACCACAAAACAAGTCCCAGCATCCTCTACAAAGAAAAGTCCGTACCACGTGGGAAAAGAAGGAGGGAGGCACCTTTATTTTCCGCCAATTAAAATTGTCGTGGTAAATTGTGCCCAGGAAGCCGGTAAGTGCGGGAGGCGGAGTGGAGGGGTCGGTCTGACTTTTACTGGAGGTGGCCGGAGGGACGGATAGGGGGAGAAGAGGAGGAGGAGGAGGAGCGAGCGAGCGCCTTTGAAATGATTCCTGCGGATATCAAAACATTTGTAAAATTTAGAAGGTTGCATAAGAACAGAGGATTCTAATGAATTAGAATAAACTCCTTACGCCAGTTTCCCCTCCCAGTTATTAATGTGATTCGGAGATTTCGCTTCCGCTCTTTCTGCCTGCAGTATGAAATTTTGTTCGTTAGAGCGATGCATGGAATCTACTGCTTCAATAATCTATCACAGGGTTGATCTCCCCCCCCCCCCCCCGATCGGTGTAATCTGCCCTTAGTTCTCAAAATACAGGCAATTCTTTTTTTCATAACGCCAATCGGCCACTTCTCATTTCTATAAAACTCAGTAATTTATTGACCTCTATAATTTAATTTCACTGGACTCCGTCCCAAATAAAAGCCACCTGAATATTTTCTATTATAGATTTTATCAGTTGATCTGCTTCCGATTCTTACTTCATAAGGCGGTTAAAAGGGTTCTCATGTGACTAATATGATCCAGGATATTTTAACAGTTTTAAGATGAACATTTATTATGACAATCCTTAATGGACAAGGAACTCTTCTTGTATGCTGTGCTCAAAAGCTACATATGAAAGAGGAAAAGAGAATATCAGTTTATTAGAATATACTAAATATGATTCAGGGAACTGAACATAAAGATTCCTTTTGAAGATTCTACCATGCTTAAAAGAAAATCTACTCTGGTCATTCTGACTCACTTTAAATAAAAGTGGTTTTGCTGTATATGCTGAGACAAGCTCATTAAATGCTGTGGAAAAGTAACCATGTGGTGTGTGTGTGTGAATGTTGAGTTAGGAATTTAGTGATATTAAACTTAAAAAATTTACAACGTAATAGTACAGCAATATTATCAAGAATATACTTTTAACTGTAACTTATCAGTTATTGCTTTATCATTTTAATGTTTAAAGCTGCCCAGAGTCACCTCAGATGGGCGGTGCACAAATCAAATCAATAAATAAATATGAATAACCAACTCTGTATTATATATCTAGTCAGGAATCAACTGCTTACACTACTAGTCTGCTGAACTTTACTAACTTGTCATTCCCATGAAATCAAGGCTCTTCTCAGGCTGAGCATCTGAATATTGGAAACGTATTCTGAGGCTGACAAGGTTTTAAGCTTTTCCTAATCTCTTTGACATGCTAGAGCTCTACCAATGCCACATAGAAAATTTCTAAAGCAATTTATTTAATGATTCCTTTTACCTTATAGTTTAATAACTCTATTAAACTATAACTTTATTGCAACCCCCTCCCTCACACGTACAAAACAGGTGTCTTTCAATAGCTCAGGTTCCCCACTGAAGCTACCACCCTGGGCTACGTATTGCAGTAATTTAGGAACCTCAATAATACAAATGGCCCCATTTGACTTCAGGTGAGAATAAAGTAGAATACCAGATGGAGTTTTCAAGGCACAAATTCTTTAAAAAAATGACAACAAAAGAAAATATAGGAAAAAAAGTGAGAATAAGAGAAGTCTAAATTGCTGCTGAAAAAAAAAATCTTTCAAACAGAAAACCTAAGAACAAATCAGGCATAAAATAGTCATTTCAATTAAATAACAATGTCTGATATAGAAATCTCTTCCCTTAGCTAAGTAGAAAGACTCAGTGGAAGATAGTGCGGCCATCTACTGTGTTTCCCCGAAAATAAGACAGGGTCTTATTTTCTTTTGCCCCACGAAATATGGCCTTGGGCTTCTTATAGGGGGACAGCTTACTATTTTCTGGGGCAGGTGAGAAGCGAGGTACGCCTTATACCTTTCCAGGTCTGTCGCGTTCCTTGCCATTGTGTTCAGGGAAGCTGCTGGTAAAAAAAAAAAAACTTCTCGCGAGTGCAATCAAACTTCTTGAAATTGTGAGAAGGTTTTTTTTTTTAACCAGGGGCTTCCCTGGACACAATGGCAAGGAACGCGACGGATCTGGAAAGGTAAGAGGCACGCCTCGCGGCCCAACACCGCCCACCTTGCCCTAATGGTAAAGGCAGCCTGCCTGGTTCCCTTCCCCGCCGTCCCTTTAGTGAGGGGTGGCAGGTGGGAAGGGTAAGAAGCGAGGTGCGCCTCTTACCTTTCCAGGTCCGTTGTATTCCTTGCCCTTTCATCCAGTGAATGGACGAAAGGGCAAGGAATGCAGCAGAGCTGTCAGTCTCTGGTAGCTCTAGGATGTATGTCTCGCTTCTCCCCCACCCCACCTGCCACCCCTCGCTAAAGGGGGCGGGGAAGGGAACCAGGCAGGCTGCCTTTACCATTGGGGCAAAGTGGGTGGTGTTGGGCCGTGAGGCGCACCTCTTACCTTTCCAGGTCCGTTGCGTTCCTCGCCCTTTCATCCAGTGAAACCCCTTGTAAAAAGAAACCTTGAACTCATGAGGTTTTTTTTTTACAAGGGGATTAACTGGACAAAAGGCGAGGAACGCAACGGACCTTGAAAGGTAAGAGGTGCGCCTCGCTTCTCCCCCCCCCCACCTGCCACCCCTCGCTAAAGGGACAGCGGGGAAGGGAACCAGGCAGGCTGCCTTTACCATTGGGGTGGGGTGGGCGGTGCTTTTTTGCATGAGAAGGAATCGGTGGGAGGGGGTGATCGCATTGCTGGCCTGCCACTCTTTTTGCGGTGGGCTCTTTTTGCGTNTGACGAGGGGTGTTAGATTTTAAAGTAATATGATTGAACATGTATACCGTCTTCTTTTACAACATGATACTGTCTATGTAATAGTATACATGTGATTATATGTTATGAAAATGGAAAAATAAAAATATTGTTAACAAAAAAAAAAAAGCAACGAAGGTGGTGAATGAACTGAATATGTTTAGGTTAAAAAGGGAAGCGGTGGCTCTGTGGCTAAGATGCTGAGCTTGTCAATCAGAAAGGTTGGCAGTTCGGCGATTCAAATCCGTGTAATGGAGTGCCGTGTAATGGAGTGAGCTCCTGTTACTTGTCCCAGCTTCTACCAACCTAGCAGTTCGAAAGCATGTTAAAAATGCAAATAGAAAAATAGGGACTTTGGTGGGAAGGTAACAGCGTTCCGTGCACCTTCAGCGTTTAGTCATCCTGGCTACATGACCATGGAGACGTCTTCGACAGCGCTGGCTCTTCAGCTTTTAAAAGGAGATGAGCACCGCCCCCTAGAGTTGGGAACGATTAGCACATATGTGTGAGGGGAACCTTTACCTTTAGGTTTAAAAAGAGAGGGCTAAGCAAGGGCAATACATAAAGGACTGTCACAGGGAAGAGGATATGCATTTATTTTTCCTGGTATCTGAAGGTAGCACAAGAAGTAATGAATGGAAGTTTACAGAGGGAGAGCCCAAGTTGAAATAAAGAGGAATTTTCTCACCATGAGAGCTATTAAGCAGTGGAATAGTTTATCTCTTGAAATTGTGGGCAGTCTATTAATGGAGCAAAGAAGTCATTGATTGAGATGGGCAGCCATCAAAATTGATTGATTGATTGATTGGTCAGACAGTTATTTGTCTGCGAGGGCCTGAGGGTTCAGGGCAGAAGTTAGACAAGAAGACCTCTAAGATCCTTTCAAAACATATGTTTTCTGTTATTCCAATATGGGTACATAGATGTCCAAAATCAGATTCAGCCTGCCATTCATTCCCAGTTACTGAAGAACAACTACTGTATTTATAATCTCTTTTTAAAGAACAATGTCATTATAAAAAGAGAAGATGAATCAGATTGGCATCTGTTCTGATCAAGGGTTTTTTTCTATCTCTGCCTTGACTTGGAAAGTAAATTTGTCTGAAACAATTGGAGAATTTTCTTTTCTTTGATTCCAGAATTCTGATGTCAAAGAATTGAGATGGAGTTGCTGCCTGGTTGGATTAACTTGTTCTTCTAGAATAGTGGTTCCCAAACTTTTTCAGTCCACCGCCTCCTTGGTGCTACAAACTGATCCTCAGTGCCCCCCACCCTGTGGTGGAATTCAATTTTTTTACTACCGGTTCTGTGGGCGTGGCTTGGTGGGCGTGGCTGGGGAGGGTCATGTGACTGGGCAGTTTGCACGACGGAAGGAAGATAGTAACAGTAAAATTCAGTAAACGCTTTGACATATATCACTAATGCAGTTTCCGATCTCTTCCATTGACATAANTTTTTATGTACACTGAGAGCATATGCACCAAAGACAAATTCCTTGTGTGTTCAATCATACTTGGCCAATAAAGAATTCTATTCTATTCTATTCTAAATTTAGGATTACAATGCTACTCTTTTTTTTCTCTTAGGCTCACTTTTTTTACATCACTGTTTTTCCATGGCAAAGAAAGCACAGTGTTTGGGGGTTCTGTTTGTCATGACATTGTTAAAGCTCCAAAATCTTTGTCATAAAAGCATACTGCAAAACATTCTTAATTACATAACTGACTGATTTTTTAAAATCCCCTTTCCTGGCCTGGTATTTTCCAAGTGGGTTAGGCTTCCCAAAGATAGACATGGAGAATGACACATTTGAAGGATATCATGTTGGTGAGATGGTCTAATAAAAAGAAAAAGTACTATAGAAAAGACATTTGCTCCAGATATTGCACCCTATGAATTCTTTTCTCTTTCTCACTGCATTGTTCTGATGTATGATACACATTGTTACTAACAAGTAAGATTTAGTCACTGTGAGAACAGATATGACACCAATATTATGAATTATGATGCAGTTCTAAAAGATGGGTAGAAGAAAAATTCAAGGGTTTGGACAACAAAGTTTAGTTTTGTTCTGTCATGATTCTAAGATAGAATTGCACTAAGCAAGACCTTATCTCCTGGATTTTCATTCTGCATTTGTGGATGAATTCTAAGAAACTGAATAAATCTTTCTGTTACTTGTCCAAGGATGCTTTTTCAAGAGTCAACTGGGCTTTCTTCAGCTCAAAGCTGAAGAAGCTTCTTGGATGAGAAGTGAAATGTCTTCAAAAAAACAAAAAACAAAGTGCAGTTGCCTCTTGAAAAAGCACCTTTGGGATAACCATGAATTGGATGCCTGAGAATCTCCACAGATCTCCTGTTATTTCCTCTCTCATTCTGAATGTCTGAAATAGAAATCCTTAGTCTACTCTGAGGAAAGTCTTGTTATTTGAAAGATCCCGGTGAACACTTAAGGTTTTATTTTTGCTGTGCATTTTAAACTAAAACTGAATGTGGAAACTGATTGAAAAAAATCTTTGCCAAAGATTTTAGTACAAAGGCAAGTATTTAGTTTGGACTGTGCTTAGAATAATATAACAATAGCAATATAGTTATAGATGGGTGGGATTCAGCCGGTTTGGGCAAACCAGATGCTAATTTTACATCTGGTTTGCTGAACCTGTAGTTGCAAGGACTGGCTGGCCCTGCCCACCCCACCCCTCCCAGGAGTCTTCACACAGCCCATTTTGGATGCCAGATAGGTACGGAGCCTGCGTGGAGGCTTTGGGAGGGTGAAAAACGGGCCTCCCAGAAGTTCCGGAAGCCTGGAAACGGGCACATTTCTGGCCTCCGGAGCCTGGGATAGGCCGTTTTCACCCTTCTGGAGGCTCGATGAAAACCTCTGGAGCCTGTGGAGGGTGAAAACACCCCCCTGCTGCTGTGGTGCAGGAGGCTGAGTAGGCCACAACCACCATAGCCACACCCATCCAGCAACTGGGCAGAGAACCAGTTGCTAAATTTTTTCAATCCCAGCCCTTGTTATAGAGTTGGAGAGGGATACTTAGGCAATTCCATATTTAGTGTGGGTATCCAATCTCAGACAACTCTTGAGAGATGCTTATATTCTTTCTGAACGCATACCCACCACTTCTGTGAGTAACTGATTCCATTGTCAAACTGATACTACTATTAGAAACTTTTCCCCCAACATTTAATTGGCATTGGCCTTCTGGAAATCTGTATCCATTATTCCCTTTGGATAGAAGGAGAACAGGTGTTAATCTTATTTGGAACATTCTTTGACATATGTGCCATGACATATAATTGATAATGCTAAAATATGTTCTCTTCATAAAACTTTGTTTCTGTAGCTTTGATCATCCTTCTTGCGTTTCTCTGAACTTATTCCAGTGTATCGAAACCCTTAAACTATCGTGTCCAGAATTTAATACATTACTGAATGTGGGATGTCTAACTAATGTAGAAAAAAGTGTAGTGTGTTGAACCATGAGGGGATTTTATTGTTCATTGAGAGTAGGTGGAACATAGTTAAAGGTCTAACTGACGGGCTATATTTCTACATATATAATCAAAAGTGTCAAAATGCTTTTTACACTAGGAAACAGAGAGTGTGGTTTATGATTTTGTGTCTGGGTTGTTTTCTAGACAGCAGTGATTACTTTTGACTACCTCACTTCTCTTCGAAATTTTCCACGTGGGACAGAAGAGTATGAATATGTCAAATCACAGGTAAAGAGTCAATGGTGGAGGGACACAGACTAATACAAGGCATTCTTAAATAATCAATGGAATCTCTAATTTAGCAATCTAATTTGGATTTAACATCCATCTTTCATGAAACTTTTGATAACCTGGATGGCATATATGGTAGCTTTGGCAATTATAAAACTTATTGATGGGGTTAGTAGTAATAATCGTGATATCATTGGCTAAAGATCAGTAGAGAACAATGGTTGAAGGTTGGAACAAATTAATATGCCTAAAGGGGGTGTGATGGTTAAAAAAAAGTTGCCTGGATGATTAATGTATCTAAAGAAATGAAAAATAACACAGCAAACTAACAACAGCAGCTGTTGTTGCTTTTTGGATAGAACTGAATAGCCCAATTAAAAATAACATCTGCCATGGTATCAGGGTAGATATTCACAGTATTTGTACTGATATCCTTCATTTCTCAGTCAGATTTGCTTCTGCTCTTGCAGAAGTTGAAATGATGCCAAGTTGTACAACATTTTTCTAGTGAACCTGTGAAGCCTAATTCATTTGCCCTGAATTTATCATGAATAGTGATTTGAATTTATCAAATAGGCACTCCTTAATTGTCTTGATTGACAAAACCTATAATATAAAATTTTCCAGAAGTAATAAATTGAAGTGTGTTTTCTTCATTATCTTTTTCTAAACATATTGCCTTTCAATTAAAACGCAATGCATTCTATAAAATCCAGCAAATATACCAAAATCTGAATATTTAAATAATTAAAATAAAACAAATGACAAAAATATGAACGTATTGATTAGATTTCAGTTTTTACTGTTTTATATGATCGGAACTGACATAATTCTAACATACATAATATACAAAAATTACATTAAAAAATCAAAACAAAAGAAAAACCATAATTGTAGAGAAAACAGATCAAGCAATTTGACTAAATTGCTAGAAAAAAATCTTTTGTGCCTTATGAAAAAAGCCATTTCAGATATTTACAAAAATATGCAATATATTTCTTCAAGTTTATAATAGTTTTGTTCTCCCAATGTTTTAAAATACTCTTGGCTACCTGCCTCTGCATTTATGATATATTTATAGACTTAGATTGTCGATAAATTCCATATGTTACATTCTGTACATGCTTGGCAATGGCTATTAAAAATCATGTCAAGGATTCTAGAGTTTTTATTTCAAGACATCAGAAAAACAGGCAATGTGAATGATGTTCCATCTAATGAATAGTGGTCTTATCAATGGAAACAACACAACCAAGCTTTTTAAAATATTATCTGAGATGTTTACTGTGTGAATTTCGTTGAGGCTATATTAAGTACATTTTAAGTATAATACATTTTTTCATAGTATTTAGAACAATTTCACATCAGTGTTTATGTTGTTCCATATAAATATAAATAATATCTATTTATTAAAAATGTAATAAAGAATAAAATTACAGAGTTGGAAATAGCAATAGCAATAGCAGTTAGACTTATATACTGCTTCATAGGGCTTTCAGCCCTCTCTAAGCGGTTTATAGAGTCAGCATATTGCCCCCAACAACAATCTGGGTCTTCATTTTACCCACCTCGGAAGGATGGAAGTCAACCTTGAGCCGGTAAGATTTGAACCGTCGAACTGCAGCT